ATCTAATGATCAATCACATGAAAAGTAATTGTCTTTGCAGAACTGAAAACTAGGGTTTAGCCAGACATGGATAAAATCTGATCTAAAACAATAAAAACAAACATTAAACTACTAAATCTTACTAAACTAAACGTAGGAGATGATCCACATTCTTCAGATCTTCAGAAATCGGAGAAATCGGAGAAGAAACGCCTCCAAAATCGTATTTTCGTCGTCTGGAACCTCTGGAATCGCCAACTTAGGTTACTGGAAGGTTATCAGGGTCTATTTATACGTCCAGCAGCAAAAACGGCGCACCTGCGATCGCATGTACACAACCTGCGATCGCAGGTTTTGAAATAAACGTGTCTGATGCCTTTTTAATGAAGTAGGATGCTATTATGACACTTTTTGACCAACCTACGATCGCATGTACACAACCTGCGATCGCAGGTATTCAGTTTTCACTCCCGGATGAATTTTGGGCACAAAAGAACCTCGAAGGCAACCTGCGACCAAACCTGCAATCGCAAAAGGGTCACCTGCGATCGCAAGGAGACAACCTGCGATCGCAGGTTGTACCTATGACGTCCGAAATTTCGTCTACTTTTCATATCATTTTGAATCGCGTCAATCGGAGTTACGGTTCTCGAGATATGGTCAAAATACTGACAGGGGGTCAAAGCTGCCAGTAACATCCTTTATCTTTAGATTGTATATTCTTTCTTCGTGTGATCAATTCGATCGAATGTTTCTTGACCAAAGCATCTTCCAAACATTCCTCATAATCCTTCATAAGTCCCAAGCTCCATTTTAAGCTCCAAACGCGCATCCAACTGCTCCCAAAGCACTGCTCCACTCGAACAATCTGAAATTGACATAAAAACATGAGCAGTACGGGAATTCTAACGAAAGACATGAGCTGAACATTATTTAAATAAATGACATGAAAATGTACAAAATATGATCCTAAATGATAATAAAAACTACCCTATAAGATGCATAAAATTGCATCTAACAGTGATATTATGATTGTTATCAGACAAATGGTTTTATAATTATTTAATTTAAAATGAAATTTTTAGCCTTAAATTTTGGGATGTTACATGAGACTTAAAGTTGCCAGCTTTATCAAGTCTTGGTCCTCCTCCATTCCCTAAGTCCCTTATAAAGCTTAGTTTTAGTGTTTTTAGCCTCTTGATACCATGCATGGATGTAAAGTTAGCAACTTTACGTGGTATCTCAGCCCAAGGGGACCAGATCTATGGTTTGGAGGCATTAGACTCGCTTGGAAGTGACTGAATGAGTTAAGACTAAGGAAACTTGACGAGTTGTTTACCCAACTCGGCGAGTTGGATCGTGGTCCCCCGACCTTTTTGATTACTGAGCAAACTCGACGAGTTGAAGAGATGACTCGGCGAGTTGATTAGGGTTTTTTTTCGGATTTCTGAAGACACAAGGAACTCAACGAGTCCACAAGGGGACTCGACGAGTTGTATTGAAAAGTCTCAATTCTTTTGAGAAGGAGGAACTCGACGAGTTGGAGGAAAACTCGACGAGTTGGATCGTGATTTCACGATTCTGTGAGTTATGGGAACTCGGCGAGTTGAGGAGTGGACTCGACGAGTTTAGTCAACTCGGAGCGTTGACTTTAACTTTGACTTTGACTTGGGCCAAGTCAACCCTTATGGGGTTATGAGTATGAAGGGGTAATTAAGGAAATCTTTTATGTATAGGAGCTTGAGCTGGGTTGATTTTTGGAGCCGAGGACTTTCAGCTACTTTCCAGTATTTGAGGTGAGTTACCTTCCCGGTATAAGTGGGTCGAAGGCACCAATGTCGGCCCACTAGTAGTTGTTTAAAGTAGAGATGATTGTCTTTGTGATAATTGTCTGGTATGCCACTATATGTTGAGAGTTATGTGCTTGTATGCTATGTTATTACGTGGTAGTAGTAGGGGTGAAATAGTCCTTGTAGCCGGTCGTAAGACCGAAGGGGTAGGCCAGCACCCAGACATGCTAGGTAGTATGTGATTATGCGTTTATAGGCTAAGATATTATATGGTAGTGGTAGGGGTGAAATAGTCCCCGTAACCGGTTGAAAGAGACCAAAGGGGTAGGCCAGCACCCAGATATGCTAGGCGGATACCGGTTGAAAGAGACCGAATGGGTAGGCCAGCACCCTGATATGATAGGCGGTTACCGGTTGAAAGAGACCGAAGGGGTAGGTCAGCACCCGGATATGCTTGGCAGTATGTTATTGTATGGTATGTGGTATGATGGGGGAACTCACTAAGCTTTGTGCTTACGGTTTTCGGTTTTGGTTTCAGGTACTTCTTCTTCGAAAGGAAAGGAGCCGGCATGACTGCAGCGCATCACACCATGATTTCCGTGTATGTGATATTTGGGAGTTATACTCTGATGATGTTTTATTATGACATGTTTTGATTATTGATATATTGGTTTTGATATGGGTTGACACTATGGATGTTTTCAGACAATTGGTTTTATAATTATTAAATTAAAATAAAATTTTTGGTCTTAAATTTTGGGATGTTATAGTTAGAGTTCGAATTTTAATGGATTAAGGCTTAAATGTTGAGTTTTTGGCTTCAAACTGTGCTCACGACGTGAGACACATTGTCTCACGACGTGAGGATTGGATGATCCCATTTCTGATGAGCTTCTTCGGGCTCAGGACGTGAGAGAAGGCTGCTCACGTTGTGAGGTCAGATCAGGTGACTTTCCTTGACTGGGTTGGCTAGGTTGAGTCGAGATGAGTTGGAATCGGACCGAGTGAGCTCTTACAACGTGACCAAGGGATGGTCACGACGTAAGGATGGATAGTTAACATTATGGGTTGTTTACTTTGACTTTGACCGTTGACTTTTGGCTTAGGTTGACTTTTGGTTAAATTTTATTTTTAGAAGGTTGACTTAGGGTTTACCTTGTGTGGATTGATAGGATGTGTTAAGCACCCATCATTTGACAAGAGAGCAGTTAGATGTAGTTGGCACAGTTTTGAGCTGAGTATTAGTCGGCTTTGTGATTTAGGTGAGTCTCCTCACTGTACTCGGGGTTCGCAGGCACCAATTCCGGCCCATTGGCTTATGTTAGATAGGAAGATGAGGGGGTGGCCCTTGGCATTTGTATGAAAGACCGGGAGGTAGCTCCCGACAAGTTATATGCAAGACCAGGGACTGAACCCTGGCAGATATATGTAGTATGCTCGTTGTCTCTGTGATACTTGCATTGAAGACCATAAGGCTGCTCTTGGCACTTGTCTGTAAGACCTAGGGTTTCGGCCCCCGGCCTCTCAAGGAAAGACCATGATATGGCTCATGGCATAACGACAAGACTATGGTTGGTACATACAATCTCTATTTTATGTAGGGTATGTGGTACTTTGGGGAACTCACTAAGTTTTGTGCTTGCGGTTTCCTATTTATGGTTTCATGTACTTTCGTTGCGAAAGGGAAGGGCCCGACTTGACTCTACAGCATCCCCTAAAGTTTTCCGCATTGGCAATTAATGATATTACTCTATGTTTAAATAATATATTCACCTTGATCGGTTTTGGAACAACTCGTTTGTATGATTTATTGTTTTAAAAACAAAAATTTTACTATGAATTTTTAGGACGTTACACTCTGGAGCTTCGCTACTAACACTTAGGAAGTGCTAGAACAAGGTCATGTTAAATTCAAAAATAACAATGAAAATGTATTTTATAAAATGATAGTAAATAGGCTATAGTTTTTTAAATACATATTACTTGCTTAGGAATGAGGCTTCATACTTGTGAAATAATCAAATCTTTTAAATATTATATGATCTTAGGAATTAGTTTGATATGTGTATTAAATCTTTTAAACATTTTATGATTTAGTTGTTTGCAAATAAAAGGCCCGGTTTTTTAATGTTAGAAAATAGGATTCTAAGATTCTTATGTGTTTTTGTCATTTGTGTATACGAGAGTAAAAAATTGGCATTGTTATTAGTGTCCGTATGAGCATCATAGACCAATGGACCGGCCATGCACGTGAGTAAAAGGTTTCCTAAAACATGGAAATGACAAAATTGCCCTCTGTAAAGTTTCCTACCGAAATGGCATGGTAAGTTCTTTTACTTATCATTTTGCTAGGTCCACAAATAAAATAGTTTTGCGGGTCACGATGTTTTCAAAAGGACGAAGTGGGTGTTTTTGGCGAAGTGAGGTTTAATACCAAAATGGGCTCAGTCACATGGTTTGCTTTTTTTTTTTTTTTTTTGTGAATTCGATAAAACATGTGGCATGTAAGAAATTTGAAACAAAATAATATCAAATAATGTGATGTGACTGTTTCGGTCTCTCCTCTACCACATGAAATCATGGATGTGGCTCTCTCAAATATAATGACATGACATTTCTTATGTAATTCATGTATATTGGTTGGGGATTGTTTATTTTTTTCATGATGTAATTTCCACTATATAGAGGGCTTAATTAACCCTAAACCTTACCATAAGCTGATAAAGCTCATAGTTTGTTCTACATCACTTTAGGTGAGCTAAACCAAAGGTCTTTGTATTTGTCAAACAAATTATTTATAAAAAAAAATAAAAAATAAAAAATAAAAAAAATAAAAATAAAAACTATAGCCATATTACGTGCAATTAGTTTTTTGATTTGTGATTGATGTTCTTAATTCCACGTCGCCATGACATCTGGGATCCTACAAATGATATGAGAACAGGATCAATCAAAGTTTTTGAAAGTTTGTGTTTCACTATTAAACACTTGAGCCTTTTGTAATAACTTTCTGTTATCAATCAAAAAGCTAAATTGTATTTTGTCTAGATTTGTTGTTATAAACACATATTCCTTCCAGATTCGTTGATTTGTGTTTTAGAAGCATAGAAGCATAAATACATATTTTTTCCATTTAAATTCAAAACACAAAAACAACAACACTTCCAAATAAAACTTGATTGAATAGTGATGGATCTAACTGTGATTAAAAAAAAAAAAAAAAAAAAAAAAGGTTTATATCCTCCGATGAGCAACTTGGCTTGCATCCCTGAAGCAATGAAATGATCATGAGTCTGCAGGAGCTAAAAAATCCATCATCTGCATCCCTCGTCCAGCAACTGCAATTTGATACTGGTTCCTGTTTGACAAAACATAAAGCAACATAAGCATGAGCATGAGCATGAGTATGCAACACCTGTTATATACCTTCCACATACTCTAACATCCAATGCTTCTGGTTCCGGTACGCTAACGATCAAATGGGCCTTCTCACTTAATTTACCATCCACTGACGACACACGCCAACAACGAACACGCTGATCAAGCCCAGTAGAGAAAACCCAATGCCCGTCTGTCCAAACACCTATTTAACACAACACAACAGATACTTCATCAGACCCAAGTCACAGTGTATGGATCTGGATCGGACCCATACAAGGACAGTAGTTGAAAAGAACCGATCCTTTTCCAGCAAGAAAGAGAAAGTTTCACCTTTTACAGCAGAGCAATGAGCCGAGGCAATTTCGTCAGGATGAGAAAATACAATCTGGTACTTATTTTGTAGACAATAATATGATGCATGTTTCTTACAACTTTTGTCTGTACCCATCACATCAAAATTTAAAGAGTGGAGTGCTTGATCATCACCACCGCTTATAACATTGCAAGAGAAGCAAGATGATTCACAGCCTCTAACATCTGAAACATGCAGGCAATTCACCCCCGACTGGTGTGCATTTTTTACAACATGCAAGGGCCATATCGTATCTATTTCTTTTTCTTGTGAAGTAGAACCATTAGCAGCACAACCTAAATCTGATGATGTATCATTATCAGTTTTTTCCAATGACCGCCACTGACGACCACCTTGGCTTCCTCTTCCGGTGCGTGGCCTTGTCTGAAAGTTGTTGCAATCTTCCTTATGCAGAACTGATACTTTCCGCATGAATGCTTCAACAGCTTCAGTCACATCCCAAAACGCAATACTTCCATCTGTAGACCCACTAATAACCATAAACAGACTTCTCATCTGACTTTTATCTGAAAAAACAAACACCCTTCACGTTAATAAAACACCAATAGTGAAGGGAGGCAAGATTCCATGATGCTTGCAACAAACATGCATACAAAGCAATCTTTTTGTATTCAACTCTTTTCCATTAGCATCGGTGACAAAAGGCATTTACATCCAATTAATGTTAGAAGAAAACATTGAACCTCATTACCAGTACCACAGAGGAAAACATTGAACGATTAGCACACAGTAACATACATGGTATCCAGATTACATTATATGCTAAACACATGTCAATCACCCGCATTCAAGAAAGGTTAAATAGTGAGGACTAAAGATGGGCATGAGCATTTATCATTAAAGGAATAGATTCTATGCAACCAAAGGAGTCATGTGATCAAATCTTCCAAGCCAAGCTCTAATAAAGAAAAACAATATAATATATGCATGATTAGCACTCATATAGATAAGGTCTACTTGAGTCTCATCAAATCATCAACAGCATGTCCCATAGGATCGAGTATGAAATGAGATAAAAGCAGAACGATTAGCAAACAGTAACATACAGGTATCCAGATCACATATTAATGATACATTAAAGTAAACCCAAGACCAACTATTTATAGAAACTTGCACACTGTTTGAATAGACTACACATCAGTCACCTTTAAAAGTTGCAAGGTCAGGAACAACGACATGTTGCAATGACAGAACTGGCGATGTGGAAGGAACCAATAGCGCAATGTCAAACCTGCAATGGATTTGAAGAGAAACTAACTTCTGTCATGCAATCCAATATAAAAATCTACTCATAGCTGCGGAATGAAACTAGTCAAAATTAGTAGAAACTATGACTAAATGCAATTTAATACAGGTTTGTTTTATTTAAGATCTTTCTGCATTGTCTTTTCAAAAAAAAAAACTGTTAATTATAGAGGAAGTCGAGGACTTAATGCCAGGTTGACTCATGAAATCCAAAAATCACTATCTTGATCTATATGGACAGAGTCACAAGTTAACACTCAGGTACCAAAAAAAACAGCACTCGTGTAAATCAAAGAACAAGTGCAATTTGCATATTTTATGTGACGCGTACCAAAGCCGATGTGGTAATACTAGAGCCCTTAACGTAACTGTGGCATCTGAGCAAGAAACAACAATGAAGCACACAGACATCCTGCAAGCAATTAGACAAAAAAAATATTTTAATTGGTAGAGTTGGGCGATAAGCACAAGTAAATAAAGTAAGATATAGCTGTTTGTTGGATCTCACACTACCTTGAACCAGAAAACTTCACAAGGAAAGCAGTGACAGCTAAGTAGCGCCAGTCATTTTCAAGACCATCACTGCAGCAAACTTGTGTCTGTGGTTTGATCTTTTCTGGAGGAGTAGTATCAACATTGTTAAGATTTTCTGTGGTTTTTTCTTTCTTTGATCCACGGTTTCTGGTTGGCAAATCACTGGAAAGCCATTGGAACGACATTGATGAGGATGGAAGTGCTTCTTCAGTTTTAGGTCTTGAAGTTGAACTGAAACTGGCTTTGCGCTTCCATGCAGTTAGGACCCTTTTTGCACCTACTGAAATCAGCAGGAACTTGTCTTCCTCATCTTCTAATAAACCTGTTCCTTGATCACTGTCCAATGTTTCATCTACAATGGTATGTACCTTGAACACAGAGCAAAGTGATCGCACAGCCGATCCACCAACATGCTCTCCAAGCAATTTTGAAGTGGACCAGTTATCAATACCCCAAGAATAACTGAGTGTACATTTGCACATCACTACATTAGCTAAGGAAGATAATAATTTCAAACTGTTTTAATTTGGCCAGGGTAAAAAAGGATGGGGGATTAAAGTACACCAACACTATATCATAATTGAGTTTCAAATACTAGCTGCCAGAGCCGAGACATGGGGTTCAGTGCGAGAATATAATGAGTTAAGTGTTTCAGTGGAACTAATTGTACCTTGTCAACCTCACAGTTCCATCTTCACAACCCGTTGCTACAAAAGCTGATTGAAAAAGCTGAGCCTGCTTTTCATCTGAACTCAACTGTGTACCATCATTGACAATGAAACATAGTGAGTGCATCTCTCTGCCATGGAATTGCAGATGGAGATTCTGAGGGTATATCCTACTATCACTGGTTGCTACCCACTGCTTGTGCATATAAATGACTTCATCCTGTGACCGAAATGGGAGAATAGTTAGCCAACATCTCGCATGAGAAAAGCAATCCAATCATAAGACAATAATACTAGAGGGACAACTTTTTAGGTATGTAGTTACTCACTAGTCACTAGTCACTAACCAGAACTCCCTAATAATCTAGCATTCACATAAACACATTGGAAATGGAGGTGATTCTTTCTAACAGATGGTTAGTGTTTATGACACAATATATTTGATGAAATATACTCCTCTTTAGTAGGGAAAAAAAAAAGCAGATATGAAACTGTACTTTCTTCAACCACAAACCTTCACAAACGCAAAGCAATTCTTCATCTCTGGTACATCACCAAGAAAATAAGTATGAGGACGCCGCCATCCACCGCATGGAATTTCAGCTACCTGTTGCAACAAGAAAGCAAGACCAAACCAGCATTAAAAAGTGAATAAAGCAGATCAAGATAGAGTGATAGACAACAGACAGAGGGAGAGGAAAACGAGAGAACCTTTGTCTCAGTTGACAAATTCCATATTAAATAATCAGCTGATGTGAAGCCTATTGCATAGTTCCCAGTTCCAATGTTATGACCCGCATTGTCATTGGGGAAGAGAGATCGAACCAAACTCAGCTCTTTTACTTGTTTCATTCCAATAAATTCCATTTTTTGTTTATATCGATCATATTCCATATAGCATACGCATCCATCTCCTCCAGTCTGAAGCAATAGCCAGTCGGTTATATGTAATAGAAAAACATTTTAAGCTTAATATAGAACTACATATGGCAGAACATAACATACCGAGTGTAGTTCAAAGGTACTTGGATTCAATCCATGGATGGAAACACTGCTCACACTTGATATGCCATGTGCTCCTTTGAAGTAATTTAAAGGGGCAATGTGTGCCACAGAAGCATCAGGTGCAGCAAGCAACAAGTCTCTTAACAAGGGAAATAAAACTAGATTACCACGAAGATCCCCACACACCAACACCTGATTGGAAGATCATGACGTCAACCTCACACACACACATATATGTATATGATGGCAAAGATATACCTGCTCGTGAAATGATGCATCCAAGCATAGTATTCTTGTAGGAAAGCATGAGGTGAATTCTGCTACTAAAGATGCATCGGCATGCCCTGTTCCTTTTTTAGAACTGGACTGAAAAGGTTTGCATATCTTCCAAAGCTTCAATCTTCCTCTAGGATCAGCTATGAATATATACCTATACAGTAGTAACAGTTGAAAATTTGCAATCAAATTTTAGGTCAGCATTGTTAATTGGACTATGTCCTAGGGGCTAAGACCTCCCAAAATACTTTTCGCTTCGTATACTATAAACAAGATGATTGATTATATTTATATGCACATAAGAGTAATGATTCAGGTGAACAATAGTATGCATTTATTGAAACAAGTCATAGACAAGTAAAATGGGAGTATTAAGTTGAAGGGTACCTGTGGCCCAAAGACTTGCACCAATATGTTCCTAAAAGCTGCCTCTCAGCTTCAGCAGGCCAAGTGAATGATAGATTGAGCTCAGGTGTCTCGATATCAGCAATTCTCACGACAGTTAATCTTCCCTTACCATCTCCCAAAGCAATCCAGTTCTCCACACAACCCGGGAATACGCTCATACAAACTATTGGAATCTCCTCTTGGCTACAGAAAAGCTGAGTCCATGCTACATCACCGGTATCAGATATTTTAGCAAGGTACAGGAAGCCATTGTTTGTGGCTACATAAAGCTCACATTCACTCGCAAGATGCATACAACGTACATATTCGCTTTTGCTGCAATTGCAACAAATGTGAAGGTAACTAAAAGGTCTACTCAAAAGAATAATATATCATTACAATATACCTGTCCATTAGTGCAGTACGCTTTGAATTTGGAATTTGGATAGTAAAGATCTGTTTTCTTTCATACTCTTCCAGACCATTGCATCTCTCCGATTCCGATCCCATGGGCAAAGAAGAATGCAGCTGATGCACTTTTATGGCAGAATCAAATCCAGCTGTAACAAGAAGAGAAGAGCTTGGATCATACAAGCATCGCCATACTCCCCTCCCTCTGTACGATAAAGTAGCACAATCTTTTTAGCTATAGTTTGGTGCATCCTAAGAACTATAGGACAACTCACATCAACATTCTTACTGAATATATGAATTGAGCGATTTTACAATACTTGTTAACATGATACTGAAAAATCAAAATAAAGATTGTCTGCAACTTACATATGCTCCTTGATTATTCTAAGTTGTGTTCCATCCAGTCCCCATACACGACATGTACAATCCTCGCCGACGGTGATGATTAACTGATACAAAAAAAAAAAAAAAAAGTAATGAAAACAGATATTTGTTGGCCACACCACACACATAACAAATGTAACTGAAATGGCACATCCAATGAACCAGAAAAGAGGTAATGTGATCCAGACTTGTTTTCCTTGTCTATAGTAAATGAAACAAAGATGCACTGATTTTGAACTTATTTATTGATTTGACAGGGAAAGTTTTCATAAAGAGAGACTATTAACAAGGAAACATCCAACTTAAACACATATTAGGCAATATCCCATTCAAATTGTTTTCACTAACGAGAATAGGCCAACCAAGAATAAAGATAAACTGAAGTGAGAGGTAGGCTTACAGAGTCGGACATACAGCAATCCCAAACCCTGGCAGTGTGGCCAAATAGCACAGGCCCAGTGGAAGGAGAAACAGTCACCTCTGTATCATCATCATCATCAGAGTCTCTTTTTCCAGTATGAACTTCCCAGATACGTGCACTGCACTAATAAGATATCAAAGGAATCAATATGAATAGTCAGAAGGCTCATAAAGTTGGGATGAGAATTGACCTGCGATCATCCGAGACAGACACCAGTTTTGATCCATCCAAAGACCATGTAATACGGAATATAGAACCTTCATGCCCCCCCAGTCTACATACTGGGACAGCTTTGTACTCAGCAGTCTTTGATTTTGATCCCATAGGAAGAGTGTCTACTACTTTCCAGACAATTATCTGGCAGGACAAATTTACAATCAACTATCTCATCATGTCTAGAAACTAATTTTACTAATGTATCAGGCAGGTAGGTATCTATTATCTAAGAGCCAGAGGAACACCCGCCAAACTGATAATATATTTGACCAAGCTTTATGTGTTAGGCATTGACTTGACCGGCATAAAAACACATATACGGGTGGCTTGCAGTTGACTAGTTTGAACATCATTTTCAACTTTCAACTGCAGAGGCTAGTTTCGGGGTCCAGAAAGCAATTTTGTGACCCCAAATGCGAATTCATTTTGGTAGCATCTGTTTTTTCTAATTGTATTTTAAAAAAAAAAAAAAAAATAGTTACCTGGTTATAAATTGTACCAGATGCTACATGGAGAGAATCAATTTTGTGACCCCAAATGCGCATCGTATACAGAAGACATCTGTCTGTGAATGAAGGAAGGAGGAAAATGTGAAAAGGAGAAACAACAAACAATATCTTGAAAATGCGTATGTAGCATTACGTAGTGTTGCAAGTGTAGGTAGGTAGAATAGCATACATACCTGGAGAGCTCACCTGAAAGCTGATTGTAGATGTCAAGGTGTCCCAGAAATACAGAGTGTTGTCGGTGCATCCAATGGCAAGAAACTGACTCCCTTTAAGAATTACAGATTCCTACTACCGAGCAAGAACGTAAGGAACACATGAGCGAACATTGAAGAAATCCATATATAGCAATCGAAATTAAAAGAGATTCTTTCACAACCTGTATGAAGCAAACATCCAAAACCCAGTGACCCAAATTAGGCAGGGACTGAAAAGAGAGCAGATGGACGAGCGTTTGTTTGTTGTGATGTGGCAACTGAATCTTGAAGAGAAATAATTTGAGCCTGCGCTCTCCAAAGACGGCGACTCTGAAAGTAAGTGATGTATCTGTTACTGTATCTGTTAGGGGAAGACAAGAAATGCCGTGCACCCTAACACCCTTGAAGACTTGAAAGGAAGCGATCATATTGCCAGTATGCAGGTCATAGAAAAGTAGTTGCGAACCAGTTCCTGGTTGACGATATAAAAAGAAAGTAAGGGAGGGATTAAATGGAAAGCAACAAGTTCCTTGAGAGAGTCAGGGTAGCATAGAACATAACAGTAATAATAAAGATCAAGTAGAGAACCAGCAAGGAGATAAGGAAGAGATGGAGACGGGGGAGGGAGGTGGAGAAAGCACAGAGCTGAGATTTCTCCGAGGTACTGTCCGCTCTCCATTATTCTGACTGACCGGAAACTCTAGATTACAGATGACAAACAACTTTCTTTCTTTCCTCAGCGGGAGACGGCGTTTTTGTGAAAGGATGAAGAGGAGGTCAAACCGTCAAAGTCAAACAAACCACTTATGGCCTGGGCTGGGCTGGCGTAGGCCCATTAATAGCAAAAAAAATATGTTAAGTAAAAATTTCCATTAAGTCGTTACGGTGAATATATGAATTTGGTAAATTGTATGCAAGAACCAAACGCCACGAGTTAACATCACCCCATTTTGTAATTTTGAGAATCCTTCTTGCATATCGGCTTTTGTTAAATCGCACTCCTGTCAAAAGGGTTTTATGAACGAGAATCCTTCTTGCATATCCGCTTTTGTTAAATCGCACTCCTGTCAAAGGGTTTTATGAACGTTATCTTGGTCGGAATATATATGTGGTTGCTTTATTAAATATGGGTTGCCAAAGTGGTAGAACAAACAATTCCGAACTTGGAGGTATGGAAACCGATTAAGACTGAAAAATATGAATAGTAGACCCGACTACCCGAGAACATGATTTATGAAAACCAAGATCATGAAATTTGTCAAGAACACAACATTTATGGAGGCATGGAAACCAAAACAAATCACTCCTATTCATACATTTTATAAGTCGGGGAAATGGTAAAAAAAATGACCTCAATTAGTCATATAGTCATTGCAATTGACTAAAAAGGCTTGAAAAATTCACTAAATGGCCAAAAAAAACATCTAGCAACCAGGCCAAATAGGACCAAACCATTCCTCATAAAATAGGACCAAACCATTCCTCATAAAATAGGTCTCAATTTTAACTGGTTTCTAGCTAGACCTAGGTCGAAATTGGTTAGCCAATCTTAGCATGCAATTCTACATAGGATATGGAGAGTAACTGTGAATCTATAACCCAACAACGATAGCCATCCAAGTGTTTTTTTTTTTTTCAAGCCCGGATTCTAATTCATCCAATGTATCAGTTTTGATATGCATACAATTTAATTACTCTTTGTACCTTCAATGAATTTGATAAATTACAAAATTATATTATGTGTCTAAACTTTATATGAACTTTGCAATACGCAACTAGAGATCACCTTGTGTAACTTAAGTTGGCAATAGCTGTCAACATTGACTGAGCAAATTAAAGTTGGGAGTTTTTCAGCAAGAATTCTCTTTATTCTTATAAGAAGCAAAAAACCCTAAACTTCTTACAATCAAATGGCATCACCTCAACTTTGACTTGTGGTTCAATCACATCCGGGACCTGACACATGGAAAAATCACTAAAAAGACCAACAAACACATAGCAATTTATGTAGCACAAAGCCACAAAACCACTTGAACAAGCATCGGAATCGGAAAGAGCATAATAATAATTATTCCTACAAACAAAATTTCAATAGCTTGCAATCAGCAAACGGTTTTCAGGAGAGATGTTAGATGGAACATATTTGACAAGCTCAGATTTTTCTAGTCCATGTTCCCTTATCCACATCAACCTCCCTGCATCAATTATATCTTTGCACATGAACCCTAGCACAGCCCGATCTCTTGCACACATATTTCTCAACAAATCATCATCATCATCACCTTCTCCTGCTAAAACCTTTTCATTTTCCCTGCTAAACAAACATAAAATCACTCATCAGGACGACTAACTAAAAACACGGGTAATCAATTCATGAAAAGTCGATGGATAATTATTCCACTACTACATCTTTGTATCCAATTCTTCATGGTCTGCTGAATCTACGGCCCAGCTGGTAAACCATGTAACTGCATGGAACTCGTCTTTGCTCATCCCTTGACTTAAGAAAAAACTTTTATCTGCAACAACCCAACAAGCAATATGTTCAGGTCTAGATTCAACAACCCAACAAGCAATATATAATATCGAAAAGGAGTTGGATGACAGATCTTACTGATATAATGCTTCCATTGACACAGATGGTGGCAACATGTTGCAATTGAAAGTCCTCTCAGGTAAGATGTGCTGTCATTTTCCCCAACACAACATCTTAAGGTCATATCTGCCAAAACAATTGATTACATGTCTTATCTTATCTCTTCTCTTCTAGGGACAACAACTCAAACAAAGCAAAACCAGCATTACCAGTTGCAGGCCCACACAGATGTTTTCCAATTGCCAAATAAGGAACTCCTTGTAATGACCCGATTGCATTCAGATTCAAGTCCTCAACTGCACAAAAAATATAAATCAAATCTTTTGTGCTTCTGCTATAGACATGATCCTGAGACTAGTTTTCATAAATCATAATCATCTTGAATTTGTCTTATAAAAGGATGGCTTGCTGACTAATGGTGCCTTTCGAAAGGTAATCAACAAATGTTCAAGAAAGTTTCAGTTTTCAATAGAAAAAAGTTGCGTTATTGACACGCAAATATGACCTCACCATTGTTTTTTCTTTTTCAGAATTAATACATCACAAAGACACAAGGATCAAGCACGTGCTACTATTGGAACCATATAACATTATGATAAAATAAGAAAAATACAACTTTTGACCAAATCCTTACTGTCTATTCTCAACCGCTCTAGCATCAAGCTCTCTTTTTGTCGCAAGCTTCGATCCGCCTGAATTTAGATAGATACTCAGGGATAGAGTTGAAAAGGTAAGTAGCAATAAACCACATTGAGGAACATAACATGGTAGCCAGGTTGTGTTATATCACACTATCATTTAACTGACCCCAGCGAGTTCAACATATAAGAAAGAAAACAAAGACACTGACCTTAAGTTTATATGACTTGCGCTCAATCAAGAAGACTTTTGAGACCCCATAACAGTCTGCTAGCATTTGTGTCAAGTAACCCCTTCCAGCTCCAAACTCAACCACCGCAGGAGAATGAAGCTGTTCCCCAACACTAGAACAAGACTTGAATGCTCCGAGTTTTTCCAAGTTTCCAAGAATTGACGCCTGCTGGATAACATGCTTTTCTTGAAATGGGATTTTCCTGAAACTAGACAGATTTACTAATAATAATAATAATAATAATAATAAGACCAGTGCTTCTGTATTTCACTGGATAACACAGAATCAGACTGGGCCGAAGGTGTAGCTAATAGGAGTATTTCAGATTACTGCTCTTTTGTTTGGTGTAATCTAGTGACATGTAGAAGCCAGAAGCAGAACTTAGAGCTTTGGCTCTAGGAGTACAGCAGAAACAGAATTTAGAGCTTTCGCTCTAAGTATTTGTGAAGGAATCTGGCTTAAAAGACTATTGGTTGAATTAGGACTCTTTACAGAGGGATCTATAAAAATGCTTTGTGGTAAGGAAGATGGCATTAGTATCGCTAAGAATCATGTTCATCATGACAAGACAAAACATGTTGAGATAGATAAGACATTTCATCACCGAGAAGATTGAAAATGCCACAACTGAAACTATTTATGCTCCATCAAGATTTCAAACAGACGGCATTCTTACCAAGGATCATCTTTGATGAATTAATGTGGTGCAAGCTGGGAATTTTTGACATACATAACCAAGCTTGAGATTTATGTATTAAATTAAAGACAGGAAGGTAATTCCGTCATAAACATGATAGAAAAACAAAAACAAAAACAGGATGAAGTGGAAAAGTCCTTCAATAAAAACTTTTGTCCATGGGAGCTGGCACCAGTTGATACATACTCTGTGCACTCACATGACATCAAAGTTACAAAGCACCATAAAATAGGATCCACAATTGAAAGGGTAACTAATGAATCACAATACCCTGAAATACTAAACGATGTTGCACTATAGGCACCAGTATATGTATATGTTGTATATGTTTTTTTTTTGTAACGGCCATGTTAGTATTTGCCTGGGATTGAGCCCAGGACCTCCTGGTTAGAAAACTCCTAGTTAGACACCTTGTTAGCCAAGTGGGCTAGCCCCAACTTGTATGTTGTATATGTTATTAGTCTAAGAAAAGTGTATGTGACTATAAAATTATTGTAGAGGTCTTCTCTAGATCAGTGAGGAATGAAACAACTGTTATTTTCGAGGTTTCCAACTTGGAGCTCATTGTCATGACTCATGAGTTACGCTTATTTAGGAAAAATTTCATCTAAAATCCACGCAAGGAAAGGCATTTGGATTAGAAAGCTACAGTTTGCATACCATACCAGTCATTTGCGCGGTTAATCCAATTCCTGCAAACTTCCGGCATGTTGTAAGAGTCTTGAATGTCCTTGCATATGGAAGCGTGAACAGACTTTATTTTTTTCGATTAGTTTGATCAACTCATGTACAGTGATAGATTGCACAGCCATCCTCTTGGACTCTGAGGAAACGTCTTCATCTTCTTCATCGCCTCCGTTAATGCCCTTTTGGTAGAAAGGTTGGAGGGACAGTGAGTTCTTATGTTTGAGCAATGGACACCGTCTAAGGTGATTCTCAAGGTTGGATTCCAGTACAGAGCTGTTCCATTACATGGGATAGAATCATATTACGAACTATAGAAAGAGGAAAACTGAGCATCCGATAATGGATAGTGGAGAAGAGCGAAAACTTACTGGGAGGGGTCTATTGAGCACTGAATCCACCTGTCATCCGACCTTGCAGAGTGGTTGCCGCAGAACCTATATTGGAAATACGCCAAGTTAAAATCTTGAGGAAGCGTGTTGGGTAATGCTTATTGCTTAGCTTACTCGGTATTGGGGAGCGGGGGAATCGCACAAAATCTCTTCTTTTTGAGCAACCAAAACTTGCATCTAACCCCCATTCTCCGTGGCGCCTAAACCCTAAAAAGGGCTCCGCTTTGCCCAGCTGGTTGCCGCCTCCTCACAAGAGTCCACGGTGGTATATGCCGCTCAGGACTACAGAAACCAAAAGACCTGGAGGCTGGAGTTCGAGTTGATTGTTACACAAGACCATCTCCGACCTAGTGTTCGTTTTAGTCTGTTATGATTTAAAAAATAAATAAATAAATAAATAATAACTAGCAGCTTGGCGTTGGATCAGGTTTGCTTAAATGTTGATAAGTTTCTATTTTGTCATTTTTGGCTAATAACATGGTTTTCTTGATTTCTGTTTTAAAATGATGGTTTTTTAGAGATACAGGTGTATAGATATATGGTCGTATAACTTTATGTTTGTTTTGCGTTGAATTGCAAAGTGTGTTTTTTTTATTTTGAATGGAACGGAAATATTTAATTGGAAAGCAGTCAAACGGCCTCACAATAGAAATTTCTACTTTGGCTGCACTTCTTCCATTTCCTCAAACCCTTTTTTTTTCCATTGAAAATTACGATTTGGCAAAAGCTGTAAGAAGAAAAATCCAATGTTAAATACAAGAAATAATAACATAATTTCTTAAACTTGTTTATTACAACATGTTACTTACATTTACTGTTATTATATCATTGAAATTCAAGAAATGTTGATTGTTAGAAAACCTATATCCTTACTTAAGTATGATGGTAAAAGTACTTTGAAAAAGTTGTAAAAAGGTACAAAAAAATTTTAACTTCAATAGTTTGCATCAATTTGTTATGGTCTTTGAAGTAAGTAGCATGTAGTAGTTCGTTTTATAAATTACAAAGGGTGTTTGTTTACGGTTAATCTATATAGTTTGCAATATTAAATAAAAAGTCGATATCCAGTTACACGCCTGTTCCAAGATGTAAGGAGTCTGTGTTATCGATCGGTTTTGGTCCTAACAGTCCAAGAATTGTGTATTCCGGGTTCCGTACATCCAAACACTCCTAAAAGATTAAAAAAAGGTACCTTTTTCAACTTCAAAATATCATGAATTGAGAAATAAAAGATAGGTTATAACACATGCACTTCATATGAACAATGGGGTGTTTCAATGTGCTGAGAAACAACAAAAATGAAGTAAAATTGAGTTTAATTAGTATTGATTCTAAATCGGTTTTGGATGTTATATCAAAATAATGTCACATACAACTCGTTTAGACTTATTACTTGATCTTATTACTGAAATACTCAAAATCAGATTACCCCTTTCAAAATTTGGGAGTTTTAATAGTTATAATGGATACCTCTTTCATTTGCCAATAACTGTAAAACAAAGTCAGGTTGCATCTCAAAAGTTGTAATTGTGATCCCGCTAAGCAAGACTGAAGAGAATAAGAAAATAGATGATCAAACAAATATAATCAACTAATAAATCAGGTAAAGTAAGGCGGAATGAATACCTTAATTGGCTTAGACATTTCATCAAACGCCTTATAGGCGTGTTTCTCATCCAAAACCAATAACCTTGTTGAGCATTCCCACTTCCCAAACCTGTACTAAGGAAATCCTCCCCTTTCTCACGTTCAATCACACGATTCTCCAAGTGAAGGTTGCAAAGCTGAAAGACCGACATGTAGCGTGAACCGGTTCGAGTTTAGCCTTGATTTTGCGGTTGTTGTTGGTCGTGTTTGATGAAGAAGTACTTTCGCCATTAACATAATTACTTGTTGAAGCTCAGATCAGATCAGTGTATCAACGATGCATTAGGAATAGTTAAAAGTCAAAGTGCAACAAATCATCTCTAGTTACAACGAATTCTTCATAGTTCAAGTACCCATGTTTGTCAACATCTCCCTGCATCAATATATTTCATTAATATTTATCTTGTTTGATGCATTTGATGTATTCAATTTATTATTATATTTAGACAATTTAGTAAAATGTAATACTTACAGCATCCATAAGTATCTGAAGTGCTGCATCAGGGATCTGTTGACCAACCTTTTGTAATTCTGCTTTCAACTCAGCAATGTTTGTCTTTCCTTGCTTGCTTGTATCCTTTAAATCAAATCCATGCTTAGTTCCCGCCACTTCCTCAGCAGATAAAGGGTCAACAATTACCTATACTTTTGTTATAATAAAGGACAAGTCAGTATAAAGACACCCAAAAAAAGAACAAAAAAACCACAAGATAACGAATTATAACATACCCTTAAAGCTCTCTTCTTCGGTTTGTTCATTACAAAGAATTACTTGGGTCTAGCTTTAACAGTTTCACCTAAATTAACATTTGGAGCCTTTATGGCGTTTTGTATCCATGTATGATCTGAAATAAGTTGATAGAGAGAAAGGTTAACTTAGAAATGGGTTAAATACATATAATATAAGACGTGGAAAAAAGAAAAGACAGCATGGTCATGAAAAAGTAAGGATTTTGAGATTACCAAGAACTTCTTAAGCAGCAAGACACAACTTTGGGTCAAGATTTAGCATCTGCTTGACAAGATCTTTAGTTGCATCAGATACCTTTGGCCATGGATCCCTTTTAAAATCCACAGACGACAATCGACTAGGACTGACAAATCGATGATGGATGCAGTGGAGGAAGGAGGCTGATAGAGGAAGGGTAAAGAGAATTTTGTGGAGGTCATCGGGAACAAAGAGGGAGAAAGAAATTGGCGTGGTGTTGTGGCAGAATCCGGCAACCATTGCTGCCGGTGGTGGCAAAATCCGACAGCCATTGCTGGCGGTGGTGGTGATGAGTAGAATCGAACCCAAAAAAACATATATATAAGGCTAGAAACTTACCTCCACGATGAATAGCCATAATACACACTAAAAGCGCAGCTCTATGTAAACTCGACAAAACCCTAGACCACCTGATGTTTGTCGGAATCGCTACCCTCTCCGGAAAAATCCGTTGCAGTCTAACATATCACTCTCGTTGTATCTGTCGGTTGGTATCTCTCGCTGGTCGGTTCACTTAGCATCTTCACATAACATCTGGGTTTTTTTTTTAAGAAGAGGACGTAGGTCAATGGCGGTGGTGTTGTGATTGGTTAAAGAAGACGGCCCAATGGTCATAGGGAGGAAAAGAGAAAATGTAAACATTTGGTGGCCAAATTGTGAATCTAAAAAATTATGTGGCAAAATCCCAAATCACAAAAGATTCCTGCTCACGAACTGGATGAGAATTAATATGTATATAATGCTATTAAGTGAGAGAAGGTTATATTTAGGAAAGATCTCACTGCCGCCCGACCAAGTTATAGGTCTTTGGTTTAAAACATTTTTTTTTCTTTCTAAGGGTACAAATTCTTATTTCACCGACTACATAGGGACTTTTAGTTATTTTAACCGATGTTCGTGCCTAGTCACATGCCAAACTGGATATCGAGTCAACCCGGATGTCACGTCAGCGAGTCAATACCGATTTTGTTTACTTGGGCCTTAAGGGTTGGTGTGGTCCCATTGTATATACTTGGAGGATCTAGTGCACAAAACCCTAACATTTCATTACCATTTCCGACCAAACACAAGCCGACAATCATCCGACAACAATCATTTTTGCCACTTTATTCCATGGAGTCTACCCCACTACCGTCATCGGACTCAATAAACTCGATAAACTCAAGAGATGGGTTGAACCTAAATGATTTGTGAAGCTAGTGGCACAACAAACTGAGGTCGATCGTTTGAAGGACGAGATGGGTCGGGACTTTCTTCTCTCGAGGGTTGATGTGTTGAATATGGATGGCTTGAAAAGCATTGATATTTAGGTTGTTTTGGACATCAAGAAACCTTTTGGAAGGATTGGATGGATGGCTTAATGGATTGAGAGTTGAATTCATTAAGTTGAGAAAACACGTCTTCACGGCGTGATAACTTCCTTATCACGACATGATGATTGGGGATTTCTCGGTTGTTTTGGATTGATTATGTCACGATATGATGGCATGATCATCACGACGTGACAATAGTTTGGATCGAGACTGAGTTGGTTGAGTTTGAGGTCAGCTGATGGTAATGATGACCGTTAGCTTTGACCCTGATTGTTGATCGGTCATCTAAGGTTGGACCTTGTTTGATTTGTTAGGTGTGTTGTAGCACTTGTTGCGTAACATTGAGCTATGGTTTATCTGATTCCATGAGACAGGTGAGTCTTCTCACTATATTGTGTAGGATGTTAGTTGTCTTTGTGACTCTTGCATTTGTATGTTGGGCTAGACCCATTTGTATGTTGGGATGGTCCCGTTTGTATGTTGGGTGGGGCCCGAGACGTGGGTGGAGCCCGTTATGAAGGGTGGGGATCGATGATATGTATGGTATGTGGTATTTTGGGGAAGTCACTAAGTTTTGTGCTTACGGTTTTGTGGTTTAAACATTTTCATGTACTTCCAGTTCCAAAGGGAAGGGCCCGACTTGACTGCACAACATCCCCTAATGATTTTTTCACACTGATTATTATCATTTCACTCTGATGTTTGAGATACATTTTTATCATGATTGATTTTGGAACATGTGATGTATGGATTTGATGGCTTGAAAATGAAAAAAAAATCATGTTTTTGGGATGTTTCATGGCCTAAAAAGGTAAAAACTATTTTTTTTAATGTTTATGGCTAAGTCATGTTGGGTAAAGGGTTAAATGCTAAAAGTTTAATAAAATTAATGTTTCGCTTCTAGTATATTGTGGTTTTAAAACCGCACCACGATAGAAAACCACACCATTTCATTATGTTGTTTAAAATCGAAACCATACCATTGAAAAAGAAACTAAAAAACCACACATTGCGGTTTTAAGATTACAAAAACCTTTGCATGCGGTTTGTGTGATAGTTTTGGCCTAAAACTGCAACAACCCACACCATGTTCAGCCTGCTAGTGTGATGGATCACTAGTACCTAGTTGAATGGATATACAAAGCGTTTCATCTTCACACATTTCTAAAGGGTATAGAAAGTGTATGGTGTGTTATGCGTTAACCTCATATGAGCATGATTTCAGCCATTATTTGTGAGAATTGAGTAATATGTTGACTTTAGGGTTAGGATCTGGAAGCATATGAATGGCATCCCTTAATATCATTAATCTGGAAATTTTTAGTATGAAGATATTTTAGCAATGCCTAACTTTAAAAATGCTTCTTCGCTTATTATAATTCTAAATATTCCTTTGATGTTTTGAAATGATTTTTAGGTTTACTTTGTGTATAGATTGTGCAAGTTCCTTACATACAACAAATTTAAACATTGACAATGCTTATTAGGCTTCACAATCCTAACCCATGTATTTTGACATGTGTTCATATTAGGATTTTGACGAAGATAGGTAGACATATGCATCTTGGACATTTATAAGACCTTAGATTTTATGAATTATAAAAGTTGTTACATTACTTTGTTTTTGAATGAATTGTTTCAAACCTTGCATTTTGTTTAAGCTGTTAGACACTTAAAACTTTTGGGGCCTATTTCCCCAATTGAATGTTTTTAATATTAAAATGAGATTTATTATACTATTTTCAAATAGCCACAAAATACGAGGGATGTTTCACATTTCATGGAGCAACCAAAGAATTTGCATTTCTAAGTAGTTAAGTATATCTTACGATATGTAAAAGGAACCGTTAATTATGGACTTAACTAGCAAAGGTCGAGAAATAGAAGACTTTGTTGAGTTTACAAATAGTGATATTAGAGGTGATGTTATTGGTAGCAAGAGTATCAGTGTAACATCCCAAAATTCTAGACAAAAAAATCATTTTTTAATTCATTTCAAACATCCAGTAATCATGTAAAAACAACCAAAAGAGTATCATAATGAAATAATATCATAATACAAATCACAAAATCACATAATGCGGAAACACATGGGCAGATGCAGTGCGATCAAGCCGCACCCTTCCCTTTCGAGCTGGAAGTACCCGAAACACAAACTGAAAACCATAAGCACAAAGCTTAGTGAGCTTCCCAAAATACCACATACCATACATGCATAATAGTACAAAACATAATTGGGTCTATTTCACCCCCTTCGGTGTCTTTCAATCGGCTGGGTCTATTTCGCCCCCTTCGGTATCTTGCAACCGGTACTAGGTCTATTTCACCGCCTTCGGTATCTTTCAACTGGTATTGGGTCTATTTCACCCCCTTCAATATCTTTCAACCAGTACTGGGTCTATTTCACCCCTACAGCTATGCATGCAAAAGCATATTGGTCAGACAGTCAAACCCACTCCAAATGACTTAACTCATTAAGCTTATAACGTCCAACCTTCAAGTCAACATCATAAAGAGGTCTTAAGCCATAAAGTCGAAGACTTTAAGCTTTTGCATGGCTTAAAAGGTCAAATCTTGGATTTTAACATACTAACTTCATGAAACAACCCTCAACCCTTGCATGGTTGAGCTTAATCCATCAAGGTGCCATTTTTATGCACAAAGGACATCAGAAACACTAAGATCTATCATCATAACCTTCTGGAGTAGCGTATATTCACAAGAAACACCTTAAGGGACCAAAATAAGCCAAAAAACCCTAACTATCTAGAACCAAGAGATGAATCATCAAGGCAAGGACTTGATACCTTCTGAACAATGATCAAGGTGGCTAAGTTCTGGATCCACAAGCTTTAACACCACAAGAGCAACTTCCAATAGATCCTTCCTTCTTCAAGATCACCAAAAAACACCAACCAAGGTCACTTCTAAGCTCAAAACACTCAGATAGCAGCTAGGGTTTCATGGGAGGGCTGATGAGGGGGCAGCCTCAAGCTTCATAATGGGGATTAGGGTTAAACCCTAAAAAGTAGGATTTATTGAATCACAGTGTATGCCCAACATACAAAGGTGCTCCCCCTCGTGTCCAAGTCATGTGAGTATGTCGTGCGTACTCATATTGCGCCTAGCATAATAATCCCATTTCTGTCTTTAACAATCAGTCACTTAACCAAAAATGCCAAGAAATATATTACCTCACAAAATGGATGCTACAAATCTCCCCCACTTGAATCAGAATTCATCCTCAAAGTCTGTTGCCGCAAATAACTTTGGGTAATGCTCCCTCATCTCGTCCTCTGGCTCCCACGTCCACTCAGAACCCTTTCGGTTCAGCCACTGCACCTTCACCAATCCCACAACCTTGTTCCTCAAGGTTTTCGTCTTTCGGTCAAGGATCGTCACCGGTCTCTCAATGTAATTCAGGCGGCCATCCACCTAAATGTCCTCCAAAGGATCCACTGCAGAATCATCAACCAAACACTTACGTAACTGAGAGACGTGAAAAGTGTTGTGAATCTGACTGAGCTCCTCTGGCAGATCCAAACGATATGCTACCCTGCTCACCCGGGCTAAAATCCTGAAAGGACCAATATACTTGGGGCCCAGCTTACCCAGCTTCCTGAATCGGATGACACATTTCCAAGGTGACACCTTCAAGAGTACCACCATATCTCCAACCTGAACTTCCAAGTTTGGTCGGCGTCTATCTGCGTAGATCTTTTGTCGACTATGTGCTATCTAAAGTCTGTCGCGGACCTGCTAATCAATTACGTCTTCTTGAGTACCACCTCGGTACTCCCCATGACCCGCTGACCGGCCTCACCCCAACATATTAAGGTCCTACACTTCCGCCCATAGAGCATATCAAAAAGTAGGTCGATCAATGTTGGCGTGATAATTGTTGTTATACGAAAAATTCTGCCAATG